ATCAACGCGGCCTTTAGGGCTTCCTGGATTTTAAAATATCCCATCAATTGCTTTAGCAGCGAAATGGGTTTTATGGAAGCCGTGTTGGTATTGAAGTTCAGAGAATTCATCATATGCAATTGCTTGTTTTTATCCCATTGGCTCATGGCCATTCTGTCGCTGAGAGCCCTCGCCGCGATTAAATACCCCATTTTTTACAGGATAAATTTCATGGATAAAAAATCGAATTTAGATGGCGGTATAATATTAGTCCTAATGATGGTATCCTTTGTAACGTGTTTTCCCTTTCTTTTAGACAAGAGTATTCAGAATGTCCAAAATGAGCACATTCCTAACCACAAATACTATGTTCAAGAAAACGATAAATTGAAACCCTTTCTAGAAGTGTATTATCGGGCAGAAATGATAGTCTCTGTCACGGTGCCCTGCGCGCTCATAATGATCTCAAATTTGCTGACTTGGTACTTGATGTACAAAAAGGATAGATCTAATACACGGCATCGTAATATTCCTAGTAGAAGAAGATGTTTTAGTAAAGTGTTGATGAGATTTAAAATAACGTGTATGAAGTGCCGAATTCTACCTAACGCTACCTCATCGGATAACCTTCAGATGAGAATAACTAAGGCATCAAAGGCCCGCCATTTTGCCGTCGTCGCCGGCATATTAACCACGATCACTTTCATCTTTTCCTTACCCATCACCGTATTGGTATTCCTTAAAGGTGTACATAGAATCTTTGACATAAACTGCTTTTCGCTTTCCTACATGCTAGCATATATATTTCTAATTCTTAAGTACTTTATTTTTCCTTACCTGATACTGTTCGGTAATCCAGCGCTGCAAAATTTGATATTAAAAACTAAAATGAGTCGATTTCTAAAAGTTTTAAACTTAACTAAACCAAACAAGATACAGGTTGAATCGGTAAACAACTTGCAGGCTCAGTAGAGTTGTCATTTAAGCAAATTTTAACGTTATACAAATTATAGAAAATCCTTAAAATCATCAAACACCTTGGTCATTCTATATCTAATACAGCATAATTAGAATTCTAAATAGCCTAAATTTGCTGAGTGGGAGGTGTTAACTCGAACGCATTAGGAAAATAAATCCTTTTATGTAATAATACCAAATGTAAATGTGTAATATTTCTCTTCTAAATAGATAATATCTAGATGTTACATAGAAACCCATGTAAATTTGTGTTTTTAGTTTATATGTTATATAGTATTTAAACTTTATTTTATATCTGTTTTGAATTATTATATATAATTTATTTAATAATGAATCTTTTTTAAACTTGTAAAAGTATCATTTTAAAAACTTTAAAAAGTGTCGTGGTTTTTTGTTTACAAATTTTTATATTTGTTCATACATAGTTTGATGCGTGTTACGATTTACATCAACTCACCCAATAAGAGGAACATGTAATCTTTTAATTTTGTTTATATTTAATATGATGTCATTGCTAAATTAAATGCGACTGTAATTTAACAATATATTGATACTAATAAAGTGAATAGATAATAATTTAAATATAAATTACATGTATAAATATTTTTTTTTCCCAACTTTATTTTAACCATAAAAATAATATCATGTTAAATTGAAATGTTAAGAATATAAAAAAAGATGAGAACAGAAAAAATCAATTGCTGAGAATTATTTCTTAATGCTCAGAAAAATAAACTGAAATATAGTAAGTTTTAAGTTTTATATGTAGTTTCAAAAATTAAACTACTAAACTTCTACTAGGATGTTATTATAATATATAAAAATGATTAAATTTATTAAGTTATAACGATAATTTTAAGAAAATTTAAAAAAAAAGACATCGCCCATTTGAAGATTTTGAATCGCTAATAGATTTGCATTCCAAAAAAAGTAGTGCTGTAAATATTTCTAAAAAAATCGAACGCGTTCGCGTTTAACGTTCATTGGCAAAAATCGAACGCGTTCACGTTCATAAAACCGTTCAAAATTTTATGATAAATTTTTTTAAAATTAAATTTAATATAAAAATAAACTTATATTTTTTAAATACAATATATTTTAGCCATTGTTAAAAAATAATATAGTTTCATTTTGATAATATAATTGTAAATAAAATATAATAATGTAATATAGCGAATAAAAAGATATTTTTATTATTAAATTTTAATAACAATTGTTTTCAAAATATTTATGTGATAGATAGGAACACTTGGCAGTTAATACGGCTTTAGCCTAAAAACACGCTCTTCAGGGGCAGATGAGGGGATTGCGGTATTATACTTCATAAACAGCTCTTTTAACGTGGAGAATTAATTAAAAACATATTGTTTTGTTATTTGCAAAAAATTGAGATTACTCTCGACAAAAAAAAAAGGATATCTCGAAATTAACAGTTCTTCTAGGGTTTTCAAAGCGTTTTTTTCAATAACGCTTAGGGTCCTCTTTCGATGCGCCTATTTTTTAAATTTCTAGACACCTGATTAAACAGGGATCAAAAAGATGTAGATGGAATTGTTCATTAATTTACCGGATTTTCTTAAATCCACGAGGTTTTCTTGATTTTTTGAAGAAAAAAAAACTGATTTCTTTTGTTACGCGAGTCTCATGACTAGGAATAAATCTAGCGTAGCAACTGACCTTTTCACACTATATTTAACGGTCATAACCCTGAAATTGTTTAGATCACCGCTTTGAATTAGCGGTGTCCAATGCAATGGAAAGTGTCATGGGCGTACATAAAATTTTTTATTGACACAATATATAGTTCACATTAGTGATCTGCATCGGGCCTAACTTTTCAAGCCCGGCCCGGTCCGAAATTTTTTTTAAAAAAGTTTTTCTGGCCCGGCCCGAACCCGATATTTTTCTAAAAAGTTTTGCCCCCCCCCCCCCGGCCAGAAATTTATTTTAAAAAAATTTACCGGCCTGGCCAGGCCCGAATATATTTAAATATAGAAATTAATTTTTATAAAATAAAAGACATATGTTATATTATAGCGTTTAGTTTCAATAAATTAAATCAAAAATTTTTTTATTTTACATAAAAAAATTAAATATAAAATTGATAAATTTAGATATATTTAATAAAATGGACCTAACTTTGAAGATCTCTAGTTCACATAGTAATCTAAGAAAAAAAGGTGTTGGATCAAATGGCGTCTGAATTGAATAACTTAGTTGTTAAAGATTGGAAGGGTGATTGATGTACAATGAGTGTCTTGCAAGTCTTCATACTGTTAAGGAAGTTTGAAATAACTATGAGATCCCGTATAAGCATTTCAAAATTTCAGCAAATTCTATCAACAATGCTAAAATTTAATAATCTTCTTCATTTCCTCGAAAGTTAATTTACATTGGAAGCTTCATCTATATGCCAAGGCAATGATTCTCTCGAAATAGATCACTCCACATTAATGGATGAAAAATAATTTTTTTCTCTTCCTTAATTCTTAAACCATTTCCCATTCTATCTTTATCATTTCATAAACCATCGTTGATTTTAAAAGGTTATTTTTTTATATCTGGGACTCTCTTAAATCTTCTATTCGGAAAAACCAGTATTTAATAAAAATCTAGAGCTCACCTCATAGAACTTAAATGCAATTGGCTTAGATGGTTGAGATTAGCTATGTATCGTCGGTCTAGAATTAGAGTGCTCCAACTCGACATTTACAAAATTTTTGAGTTTGAAGTGGATAATACTATATAAAAATATATAACTAGATTTAAAAAAAATATCAAATTTTTTGCCAAATTTATAGCTGTCGAAATTGATCAATAAGCTTTTCCTATATTTGATTTTAAACTTTAATGTTGATTTTTCTCATTTTAAACATTCGCGCAAGTGGAACACTCCAAACCAATTCTAGGCCCATGATATATTAAGAAGCGAAAACGAGGAGGAAGTAAAAACGTTTTACAGATAATTATCTCTTTAAAAGATGGTTCAAAAAAATATTATATTAAACACAAAGTTTCCTATCTTTAAGCTAAGAAGCATTTTAAAAAAAAACAATGTATTTTTTATGAGATGATTATTTACAAGTGCGCTCACCATATATATTTGAGAACCACAGCCAGCAAAAAACCTGACCCGAAGAATAGTATGATTGATTTTTAAAAAAATTCGGGCTGGACTTAAGAATTTCCAAATAAATCAAGAATGTTTCCAATTACCTTTTTTTAAACAATTTGTAAAATAAAGAACAAAAAATCAATCAAAAATAACGAAATTTTAAAAAAAATTAAGACCGGGCCGGTAAAATGATTAATTATAAAAATCCGACCCCCGCCAAAATATTGTCCGCTATGGACATCGTCATTTTTTTTTGGTCTTTAAATAATTTTTTAGAAAAATAAACGATAAAATATTTGTGAATAATGGTTATTGTTTTATTCAGAAAACATGATTTCATTTTCTACGAATAAGGAAATTATAATAATTAATATATAAAATGAAATAATGGCTAATTTCAATTTATACTTTTAAATTTGAATATAATAAAATTATAATAATCTATAAAATGTTCATATCAATATAATATGAAAAATATGAAAAATATAAAAAAGAAATACAAATTCTTTAAACATATAACTGCTTCTAAAAATCGTTATATATATATATATATATATAAATTTATTTAATTTTAAATCTTAAGATGTAGGTTTCAATTTATTAATGATTATTAATTAATGTTTTATTATATTGCAACAAAAATGAAATTTGATAATAATATAAAGTACAAACGTGTACAAAAATAATACAACAAAGGTAGATATATAAATATACTATATTAATTAACTATCATTTATTTAATATTTGTATATAAAAATATGACTATTCTTTTTAAAAGATTTTAATACGAAAAAAAAGGTATTTTCAAAATATCAAAAAAAATATATAATATATATATATATACGTATATTTAGGCTAAATTGCAAAAAAAAAAAGATTGTACTTTTGTATAAAATAAACATAATATGTAATAATAATAATAATAATCTTCTTTTCTTTTATCATTCGACGTTCCTGTGCAGTTTAAACCCTTTATCATTTTCGTCGGTGGATGGTTGAATAGGTAATCTAATTAAACACGCGTCCCCATCATATTCAGTCCTATCGTATAAATATAGTATTTAATATATTATTATAGTACAAAGCTAACGAACGAATATTTTACAATTATTCGTATTTTCGAATCGAATAATAGCTTTAGTATTCGCACGAATCGGATCGAATAAAATATGTAATGATTCGTTTTTAAGTACAAATTTATACGTGGTGGGCAGAGTTGTTAAAGGGTCTAGATACAAGTATCTAGATCCTGTATCTAGATATAAAAATGTGGTATCTGTATCTAGATAGATTTTTGATTAAAATATCGGTATCTAGATATTATTTACGATGTATCTGTGATCCATTTAAAAAGTATCTTTTAACAACTCTGATGGTGGGGTAAAATGGAACCCTGAAAGTCGGCCCGTACCCGCATCCGGACCTAATTTTTTTATTTTAAAGTATTTCGGACCGAGTAGGGTTTGGGGCATAAATGTTCCGAGCCAGGCTGGGTTAAGACCTAAAACGTTGATTGGCTCTGGTCTCGCGTATACACGATACAATTATGTATTTAAAATGGTACAAATTCCTGAATCCACAATTCGCTTGGGTAACGGGACAGTAAAGAGAGAGACCGAGGTAGAAATATTCCGATTTTGAAGAAACATAAAATAATTTCGAAGAAGATACTAGAAAGAGTGGCGTACTTCTCTACAGTTTTCACATCGCCATTTTCGTGAGCAGGTTTATGGTTGATGATAAAATGCGACGGGGTATCGTAATCCTTTGATCCGCCCCTTTTCCATGGCTTGTCGTCATTCTAAGGGGGGGGGGAGAATAAATTACGAAAATGAATCATTATTTTTCTAAAATAGGATATACTTCCCTTTATAACACTAATACCGCATGTGTAGAAACATGTAGAAAACTTTTAGTGGATGAACGAGATCTCGAAATATTTATGAAGAAAGGGGTGGGGGAGAGGGGAGGGGGAATCAGGAAAAGCTTAGATTAAACTACTCATATGTAAATAGGCTTAGGGATGGTTAAGCAATATCCACAAAATAAGGTAGAAGAATTAATTATTTCGGGAAAATCATCTCTTTTAAATGTAGTTAATGATACGATTTTTTTAGAGCATTTCAATAAAAATATATATATATTCATTAGAAGATCTTAATGTTTGACGCAAGTGCGCAGTCTCTATCAAAAAAAAAGAATGATAGCATTATGTTAATCAATACATTTTCAATAGTAAAAAAAAGTAAGAAAGAAAGAATAGAATTTATGCTGTTATTGAAACATTTTTTAAAAAAAATGTCTACCTTGTTCCACGGAATCTGGGAATCAAAATAACTAGGTTTTTTGGCAGCATTTAGCACAACGGTCTTATTTTGGATATCGACCGACCAGCATTGCACGATATCCCCTTTCGCTAAATCCTCCGCTTTAAGAGCTTGATACCCCTTCAAGTCGAAGCGGGAAATTATTATATTCGCCATACTTAATTGTCGAGGAGTGAGTCTATTGTCCAGCACATTACTTAGGTGCATCATCTGGATATACATATTATTATTTAATCTTTTTTTAAAAAACAGATGGGATGTTAGTCAGCTGTGAACAACGAAGAAAAAAAAGGGTGAGAGATAAATATTATTATAATATAAGTTAAGCAATACCCCCCAAAATCCATCCTTAAGTCTCATGTGGCGGGGGAGTGGCAACGTCTTTTGGCGGCTAATGGAGGTCTATAAGGTTCCCTTATGGCCTGGGTCTAGAATAGGATCACCGACTCCTCGCCACCTAAAGGGGTTGATGTCCGGAAGGGGTAAAAAAAACCTTGCCACAAAATTTCCCAATGATTAAATCATAGGGAAAACTGGCCAATCTAATCGCCATTAAACGGGGAAGGTAAGTTAAACAATAGGCCTAGCCGAGAACCAGGTCTGGTTGTCAAAAAAAAATTGTCGATTAGAATACTTCCGGAAGTAATACATTACCCGATTTTCCTTATCGAAATCCTCCAAGACGTATTCCAACGGTTCCAAAAGTTTTAAATCAATAGCCCGAAGCCTAACTGCTACCCCCTCCTTCGTCTTTCCTGAGCCCGCGGACACGTCTTCGTCGAAGAATTGGTATTCCGAATCAATCGGCAGGGCGAACTCTAAGATATCGTGCAGCTTGGCAACGGTGTATCCATTATTCTTGTTACTGTCATCGTTGGGGACAAAATCGGCGAAATAAAACGCGATTTCTTGATTGCCATCGAAGCAAATTTTGAAATCCCCGTGAACGACGATCAGAATTTTGAGCGTACCGCCGTAGGATACCTGGCGTGCAAAATTAAAATTAGGGAATGAGTGCATATTAATTTTGTTAGAGCTAATTCTATATCTCTCAAATTATCGTCCTTGGTAGGCCTTTTAAAAAAAAATTCTAAACAGCTGTTTCGAATAGTTAAATTTGATAAATAGGAATAAATACAACTTTGGCGTATGTTTTTTTTAAAATAGATATCACCACCCTTACGTCAAAATCTTTCACTGAATTGAATTCCGAATTAAGAACGATAAACTAAATGGAGCTAGGAGGCGGCTACCACGTATTGGACGACAATAACGCTCGATTTCGAAAAATAAAATTTAATATTATTTTTAAGGAATTTACCTTGAACGCATTTTGATCGCCGTTGAGTCTCGTTACTATTCCGTAATACCTTAAATTCGTATTTGGCGGCGTGAGCGGAGCGTCCCAATCGTCCGCTTTGTCGAACCTTTTATGCATGAAAACTCCGTGAGCTATAGGCGTATTGTTAAACGGGAACGTGTAATAGAGGAAATGGGGTGGCATCGTCGTATCTATCATGCAATAAAAGTGCTGCCCTTGGGGGAAACTTTTATTTCTTATTTGGCTAAGTCAATAAATAATAAATAAAGGTATATATAAAAAAAATATATATATAAATGAATATCTAGTTTATCATCGAAATAAACAATCGTTATGGAATACGTCTCGTTAAATGAAAGAAGGAAAAAAGAATCGCGAAAAAATTGTAATGGACGGACGCTACGTGGCATATGCCAAACAATGACGACTAAATGAAGGATTAGTATTTTTAAAGGAAGAGCTGCAATAACCTACGCAATCACCAATGACATATAAATAATAATAATACCTAGACTGAAGATGCATTCATTAAAAGTGTACATCAATAAAAAACAGCTGGGGACGCCATTTTGGTTATCCATATCATTATTAAAAATTTTAAACGAGAGGACCATTTTTCTAAGTCTGACGCAAACTTTATTAAAGAATTGTCTGATCGTATAGATAATAAGGAAGCAAGTTATCAATATCTTTTTATTTTTTCGAATATAAAAAAAAAAAGGCGGGAGAAAAACGGAAATAAAAAAAAACAGATAAAAAATCATTTTAAGCAAATTTTTAATCAGTTAATTTTCTTAATAAAACTCAATTTATCAAAAAGAGCAGGTTCATAAAATGAGTGTGATATTGACAAATTTGCGTAAAATTGGTAGATTGTATTTTCCATAAAAACACAAAAAAAAGTGTTATTTAATCGTTATATATTATATAGCTTAGAGGCAATGGATTATATATTTTTTTTAAACTTTAACTCGTTTTTTGAGCGCCATATTTAAAAAAGAACATCTGATTTTTACCGGAAATGTATGTTTTTAGATGTTATTAGAATACCTACTTTATGAATTCGAAACAATTTCAATGTTAATCTCTAAATCATTTATAATAAAAAAAATTCTGTGGAAAATAATAATATAAATCTATATTTGGTTTAATGGGAAAATTTTCTAAAAATCATAAATAGTAGGTGTTGAGGAAGGTCAGAGATTCAATGCTTAAAATAAAATCGATAATTCTTTACACTCAGTTGTAAATAACTGGGTTTTATATAGTGTATTATACTTTATGAATCCATTTTAAGACAAATAAATCATTAATATTAAGGTTTAACTTAAATGATTAATGTTAGATGTAAAACAGTAAACCTATACGACCAATTTAAAAAATAAAATGTAATAAGACCTATTGATATTTTAAAATATTTATTAATGGGATCACGTGGTCGAGTCCGATCTACTATATATCACCCCCCCCCCTTCCCATTCCAAGTATTGAACCGCCAAGTTGATTTCAGAAAAAAATGCTCCTCACGGGATTCGAACCCAGAACCTTCGGATAGAGAAACACGCACTCATCCGACTTAGGCCATAGACACTCTTCGAAAATGACCTTTTTTAAAAATATATAAACATTACAAATAAACGAGCGTTATTACCTCGATCGTATCGAAATTTGGTACATACCATGTTATATCTTAACATTAACCAAACTTGAGTAGTTTCTTATAAATACTTTCATCACCTGGTAAAGCTTCGAATCGGCATAATGTGGGAATGATCGTGTAACACTAAATAATCGCACTTGACTTGATTTTTGTGACTAAAGGAGCCGTTCGAATTATCGCTAAATTTTGGTTTTCGTTTCGAGTGGACCAGATAACCCCGGTACGTGGTATTAGTTTGAAAGAGGTCATAGGGCAGGAGCTTAACGTCAAGCACGTGATCTGTGTTAGAGTATGTTTAATACAAAAACAACCAGAAAATATAAACAGCCTTTAGAAAGAGATCTAGTTGTTTTGTCCGACCAGGGTTCTTAAAACACATTTATGAATTCGTATTTTATATCCCATTTAAGGGGTCGGTCAATTTTAGCTATGGTGTTCATTTTTGAACAACATCACTTTATTAAAAAAATAAAATATGGTTTAGAGCAATGACATATAATAATACCTAGACTGACGATGTATTCGTTAAAAGTGTCCATCAACATCAACGAAAACAGCTGGGGACCCCATTTTGATTACCCATATCATTATTAAACATTATAAACGAGAGGCCAATTTATTCCTATGTCTGACGCAAATTTTGTTAAGGAATTGTCTGAAAGCAAGTTATCAATTTAAATAGTAGTTTTTTAAACACGAGAATAATTACTGTACAGGGTTATCAAAATGGCGAGACCAGCTGATTTGCATTCAACGACGCTCTCGAGTGCATTATTATGAACGCATCGCTAGTCTGGGTATCATTAAATGTCATAGGTTTAAAGGCGCAAAACTTTCAATTTAAAAAAAAAAGGATTCGGGGAAATCGGCGCGATACGTAAATATATAAATATCTTTCTTTCTTTCTTTCTTTCTTTCTTTCTATAATATAGCTGCCGTACCAACTCTGGGGCGTTCCCTCATTTTGAATACGACCAAAGTTCCGCAAGCCTTCACGTTTATGTTGTAGGTGTCGAAGGGCAGAAATCCTAAAATTTCGTCGCGACATTTAGATACGCCATTTCCGGCGATCTCGGAAAGATTATCATCTCGGGCGTCCCGGCGCTCGTGCGAATGGCAGGAATAATCGAGAGCGTTGTCGTATACAAAGTCCCAAAGGGTTAATAGCAACGAGGATTGGTTGAACATGTCGGACAGCGCGTGCGTGTTAAAATGGTTGGACGATTTGTTGAAATTATTGCCAGTAAAAAAATGTTCGTATTCTCGAAGGGCGAGTGTTAATATTTCGCGAAACGAGGGCTCCGAAAAGGCGGCCGATATTTTGGATTTGAAGGAACAGTCGTCTTGGAGAAATAATGGCGGCAGAATTCGAAGGGGTAAAAAAAAAATATTAATTTTAAATATTGTGGCAGGCATTATGAACTCTTCTAATATAAGTCTTACCTAAATCTGAGCACCTCACAAAAATTTGCGGGATCATCTGGCTGAGTAGGATTTAGCGTCTAATCAATTTTTCGATTATCGTTTTATAACTAGAAGCAAAGATCGATACCGTAACGGATATCGGTACATCCGTTACGGTTCAGATATAAAAAAAGGGCTAAAGGAATAGGGTTTACACTTTCTCGTATATAAACTTATCAGAATAATTTACTCTGACCAGTATTAACCGATCTTCAATTTAACCGAAAACGGATTGATCGATATCGGCAGGATATTGATTTTAAGATGTTTTTAGAACCGGTTTTAAAATTCGAAAAAAAATTAATTTCGGAACGGATCGAATATTTTTAAAAAAATTATCGAACCCGAATAAAATCGGTCGGTCGAAATTTATCGATGATTGTCTATTATAGTGCGACTTAATTGAGCGTTTGCGTTTCGCTATGCACAAAAAAAAAGGCTAAAAATTAAAGAAACAATTAAAGGGGAATATACTTGTTTTTTTTTACCGTTTTTTCCCCGAAAACTCTCAATTAGATCGCCATTATTAGATCCGATATTTAAAAATAAAAAAAAATAGACATTCACATCTCTAGTGTTAAACTAAAAAAAGTACATTGTTAAATCTTACTTTCCTTCCAATTTAATTAGGCATATTATTAAAAATATTGTTTTATTAGCTTAGAATATACCATCATATTCAAAGGCGTCGGATAAAAATTGGGTCATCTCCAAGTACCTGATTCCCTTAACCATGTGATAGTTATTGGAGGTTAATTTTTCGTAACACTCGAACAATTTATCGTACCGACATCTGGGTGAAGAAGCGTTATTCTTTGGATCCTTGGAATCGTTTGAGGCACCGCTATTATCCTGCTGAGGGCTTTTGGGATAGTAATTATAATCGACGAATCCCAAGTAAATTTTGTCCTCAAAATTAGCGTTGGTCGAGCTCTCGTCGTCACGGTCAATTCCGCCTCTTCCAATCACCGCGTCCTTGATATCGGCTAAAGAATTGGCCCGCGGTTCCGCGCCATTATCGGTATCAGACGACTCACAAATTCTGACCGCCAAAGGACATAGTATGGAACCGTTGTAATCGGGATAATCTGGCAAGCGATGAGATAGGGTTTCGCTCACAGTAACTTGGTACAGTTTAACAAAATCTGTAAAAAAAACAAATTTTTAAGAAAACTATAAACTACTCACAATATTTTCTTAAAGATATGAAATATCCTAATCCGGAACTTTAGAAATTAAATCGAATCTATGAATAAAATTTCTAGGGACCCGAATTCCTCTTATTTTCAAGAACTGCTAAGAAAAACAACAAAAGTGCAATTAATTCCCATACGCATCAAATTATCGTTCCAAATGTTTCGCTTCCTTTTCCATGGCTAAGCGGATGGCGGAATTCTCGGAACGAGCTCAAATCTAAGAACCGGAAACTAAAACCGCTTTTTAAAAATTTCTAAGAACTGTTAGCAGGTACTGACCTTTTGTAACAAAAAATATTTAGAGCCATAAACCAGAAGCACGTTCCTTAGTTCAGTATTTCAAACTGTGCAATGGCGCCAAAAAAATATTTTAGCCCTGTTTATGAAAATCAATTTAATAGATATTACTCGCGTCAATCGCTTCCGGTTGAAAGTTGCAAGCGTCGGGATTGTAAGGCAATAGCATATACTTGTAGCGGTACGGAATTTCTGCGGTAGCGTCTGAAGACCGCGGAAAGGGCATAATAACCATCAACTTCAATTGACTCTCGTAAGTTTTGACGAAGTAACCCTGGTTATTTACAATGTGTTTATTGTTTTTTGTCGATGGAAAAAAAAAACAAACAAAAAATATTTATTATAAGTAACTTGAGCACTCAGTTCGCTGAACCTGTTAGCTTAGACGATAAAAAAAATCAGAGTAAATCGCGAGTGCACTTAGCTGGAATGCGTAGAGCGTACAATCAATAAGTAACTATGTTCGATCGATGAGGTTGGGGGGGGGGGGGTGATGGGATCATGAAATAAAGGCCCACCCCGTGGGACGTATTAATATTAATGTTGCACTACTTTTATTTTTATTCTAGATATTATATATGTTATTGTTTAAATTATTTGACTTTCGTTTTCATAGGTATATCGCAAAGAGTGTCATATACAAAAGTAAATATACACAAAAATTTGAATCTAAATAATAATTTAAAAAACCGGTCAGAACCGTGGTTTGCACTGGAAAAAACGGAAGACCGGTCTCATCCGGTTTTGCTTAAAAACCGCTAGGACCGGATGCATGATAGAATATCAAAATTATAAAATGAATATTTTTTTAAAAAAAGAAGAAATTTTAGGAAAAAATTCAATAAAAAAAAACATCAATAAATTAATCGAAGTTTTGATGAATATTCTAAAAATTTATTGCATAAGATTAGGATAGAGAATAAAATAAATATTTTGATTTCACCCATATGGGTGTGTTTGTGCCTTTTTATAAATTCGGTAGGGGTTACAACGGGCCACGAACTGGGAGCTGGGGGGGGGGGTGCGAGTGAGCCGAATTTTTTTGATTCAGCAGGTCTAAAAAAGGAGATGAGGAAAGGTCCTATAACTGAGTAGGAGAAATGTATTACAGATACATTCGTAGTTCCTCGCCTATTTTCATAACTTATTCTAAACTTTAAATCTTATTATATTTTCCTCTAGAGTCCAAATAGGTAGATTGCAGAAATACCGTATAAACCGACTCCTAACCCTCACCCTGCCAAGCCCTAACCTAAGGAAGCAAAACTGTTATTGTCTCAAACTTTAAATTGGTCTTTGGTTTATCGGGGATAATGAGCATTCCAATAACTTTTAATGGCGTTTATAATTTCTCTACCTAACCCAGAAGACTTCTTTTTTTTAAAAAAAAGGTAGATAGATTGGAGAATAATATATAACAACACACGTTATAACGGGTTTCATTGGAGCTCTTGGCCAAAGTATCGAGTGACAAAATCATATCGCGGGCCATGAGATGGAGATCACCATTTTCGTTGGCATCACCCGACTCAGACTTTAGGCTAAAAGTAACGGTATCCCCGTGGAAGGTCTCTTCGACGATATTGTTGTCATCAGCCCCCTTATCGCAGATTTCGTTATGGTCCCCACTAGCGTGATTCTGAGATCCGTGAATATTGTAATCGTGAAAATTTCGCGAACGATCATAGGGATTCGTAGTGTCGATTGCGTCCACATTGATAATCGCGTATTGAACAATGAAAGGAATGCTAGTGGAGCTATTTGACGCAGGTAATTTTTTTTTTAAAAAAAAACATATATTGAATCGCAAAATAAATAAACAATAGTCATATAAAATGGTCACATTATCTCTCCTCAAACGATATTTTAAAGTGAGTAGCAAAACGGGAACGTGTTATTACTCCGAAAAACGCTTTATCGAAAGCCAATTAATTTTTTTTTATAAATTTTTCCAGTCAATTAACTAATTTTTTTTTTTAAAAAAAAACAAATCTTTGTTTCCTTCTTTCCTTTAAATATATCCAGAAAAATCTTCCTAAATGGTTTCTGACACCAAAAAATAATCAATTCTACTTTAGGTCTATCAGTCCCGTCAGATTGTGATCGCCGTACATGTCGGCGGGCTTAACTAAAGTCCCAGCGTACCTAGCTTGAAGGGACTCCTTGCAGTTTATGAACAGGAGATTCTTCAACAGCATTCTGTCGTCCTTTAAAAAAAATTTTTTTTTCCAAACGTTATTTATAAACCACATCGACCGTTAGTTGTTTCAAAAAAGTATAAGTAAAAAAGTTATAAAAATCTTTGTTGTTAAACGGCTCGTTTTGAGTCTATTTTTAAAAACGGCTAACTCAGTCAATATTTGACTCAGAAAAAATGTTGCGCGAGCAAGATTTTGCTTGTAGAAGGAACAAAGATTCTAGCCATATATTATCGAAATCTCGAGGCCTTAGGCAATATTTTTCTGGCTAAAATATTGAGTTAGTCGTTTAACAACACTAGGCTTCTCGTTAGGTAGGCAACTTGTCAAGTTACGTTCTTACACGAAATTTCGCACCCTTTTCAATCAACAATTTTTATTTAAACCTTTGAGAGCAGTTGAGGGATGGGAAGAACTTACCCCTACTTTTAGAAACTTGCGTATCCGCCATAAATTTTTCACGTGCACCTCAATATTTTTTGGAAAAAAAACTTATAAGTTAATCTTTTATTACTAGGTGATATTACGTAATGAAACCGAAATCGCCATAAATATTACATTTATTATCTCATATCATTATTATTATTAATTATTATTTATTAATTATTATAAAAATTTAATTTTAAAAAAGAGGCAAATAATCATAAACTTTAATAAAATTATATATTTAAATATATATAATTCATATCTTTTCTCTCCCAAAATCCTATTTCCCATAATCCTACATTCGGCCTCATCATGGCGGGGGAAGGGCAACGTCTTTTGGCGGCTAATCGAGGTTTAAAGGGTTCTCTGTGATCTGGGTCTAGAATAGGATCACTGTCTCCTCGACGGGGTGTGAAAACCATTAAAAAGGGGTTGATGTCAGGAAGGGCATCCGATTGTAATACCTTGATACAAAATTTCCCTCAGGTCATATCTTTTAAAACCACTAATGCGTTAACTATTTACAGAAATATAGTCTAACATCAATGTTCTATTTAGATTTACGATTTTTTAAAAATCTCCGAGGCTGAAATTAGAACCCGCGAAAGCTCCAGCCAGAGGGTTCAAGAATGTGAGCCAAAATTTAATAATTAATAAGGAAAAGAAACGGAAAACTTGAGTATGTCTTTCGACGGTAAACGCGATATCTTGTCCGGGCTTCATCGCGCAACGCAGTTCAAGATTACGGGGGCGATTTGGGTTATGATCGCCGAACATATTGGCATGATCGTCAAGGTAAGACGGGATGACACATGCCATGTCTTCGAAAGGGAAAGACAGCTTGATTTTTTTAAAAAAAAAAAATATATAATATTTAGATGATTGACGTTAACGAAAGAATGAAGACATAAATATCAACCTCAGTTCCGGCGCTGACGGTGTTACCGCCTATACTCGTCACCCGAATCTTTACAATATCGCGCTTCGGCTCGCTTCCTATGATCGTTCCGGTGTAAAAAACGTTCCAGTTATCTTGGTCAGAAGATCCGTTATCCGAGCCAAATATCTTGATGTTGTAGGCGTGCCTGATAGATTCCAAACTGAAGTAATAAATTAAAGGGGTTAAACGCAAATATCATTATATAACATTTTACGGTCGAACGTTAGAATCTGATAAAGTAAACCGAAGTCGGTTATAACCCCCGGTTTTTTTTCTTTAAAGGGAACCAGTAGCGTCGCGGGGAGGGGGGCAAAGTGTGCCAGTCCTGTTCCTATAATTTTTTTGGCATGTATTCATTTTCCCCTGACACACCTATATTTCCTATTTTCGAACGAAGGAAGGGTTACCCATATACATTTTTTCCCCTAAGAGAAGGCATATATTATTTGGATAAGGATATCAGAGAATATGTGTTTATTCCTGGAAAAAAAAATTCAGCATTCCGTGTAAATATTATATCTTTTGACTTATAATATCTTTATAAGTTTCTAAATGATAATTTTACCATATTAACTGTATATAAAATCTAAATAACAGGTGAAATGTATCGATATCTTCATTGGGTCTGCGCCGATATTTAGAGTTATTTTTTTTTAAATAGTATCCTGATACAAACCGATCCAATACTTCTTTTCATAGGTCGAGTAACATTTTAACCAATACTACCCTAAATCGTATTAAGAACATCGGACCAAAAAAAATAATCATTTTTGTCATATGGTATTGAATAAAATATACTCTTAAAACTAATCAATCTACAAGAACCAAAATTTATTGTATAATAAAAAATTTTGAGAGACAGAGGTAGCTAAAAATTTGATATTTTACCGCCATAATTATACATATCTAAAGAGTCACGTTCCGCTAGTGTCATTTAAACGCCTCGATTTTTCGCGGACGAATTAGCAAGATTTATGTTTAATCATATCATTTTTTTTTATTTTTATAAGAGCACCGCGAGGGACGATAAGGACACTACATTAATCCTCGAGCCGAAACTCGCGTGCGAGAGAAAAGGGAAGGCAACGCGGATTCGGTTCGGTTTCAAAAAAAATAAAATAAAATAAAGCGTAATAAATTACTCAACGAGGAAACTTTAAAAAAAAAACGTCCATAGACGATGTATGATTAATTTCGAGCGAAAAAAATTAAAAAAATAACAATGGTAGGTTAATCGTGGGAAATGTTCAAAAAGAATTACACGATACAATGGTTATTGTCTTATTATTTCCACAACCAACCACCATTCATAATGGTGGAGGAAATTATTAAATTTATAATTTGCCTCTATAAACTTGGGATATATAAAATAAAATGAATTAGAAACAAAATTTTTTTCTAGCGGAGTTAAATTTAAATTCTCGATTTATACTTTAAAAAATCTACTCTGTTTTGTTTTTCGAAGAATAAACTCCCTCCCAAATATTTAATACGAAATATTAACACCCTATTTTAAGTTATATTGCAGACTAAGGAAGAACCGTAGGAGAAAAAGAATTAGTTATATATCAAAAAAAAACTGTTTTTTTCATATCATACTGTCAGAGACGAAAAATTTTTCGTATCAGCTGCCTCTGTCTACGGATTAAAAGTAAGTTATTCAGTTTTAGAGCATCGAGGTTCCCTAGAAATATGATGTTTAAAGTTAGGCCGGCAGGAGAAAAAAAGAAGTTAAGGCGTATGATTTTGGGATTAATATTATAACAATTGGACTCAAGTATTATGTTGAGCATAAGTAAGTCTTTGTGTAGTGACTTTTGTCAACTAAGATAATTTCTGTTAAAATGGATGGTTACGCAAAACGTCTAATTTAAATATGGTATTATAAACCAGGGATACGCCACGATATCGAAGGACACGTATACGGGGTCTTCCTGTTGGGCGGCACGAAAATTGTGTCGAAAGGTTGGATAGATATCCTGCATGCTAAAGAACGTAGTTCTCCTTTCTCCCAACCATTCGTACTCCAAGAGCCACTTAAATATGGGAGAAATAAATTAAATTTATCGTTTGATTATAATATATATCTCCCGGGAATGTGTTCTTAGCATGTGTAGAGTACCCCAAACTGTAAATTTCAAACAATTTTGCAATTAACTTCAGAACCACTCCTAATACCAAAATGTCTATGGCTGAATTTTATAGGGTAAAATACTCTACACATTGCTAGAAATACATTTCCGGTTAAATTGGATTTAAAATTGAGAGATTCCGAATCCCCGCGTATTCCGAATCCTCGTACATAAAGTACGACGCATTTATCAAAGTCGTTGATCTAAAGCTGTGCCGATCCACTATACGATATTTGTCCAAAATTGATCGGACAACCCTGTGTTGGTTATCGGATCGATGATGGGCGAATATCGGAGCGCGGCCCCAATGTTGCTAAAATAAAGGGGAACACGTTACTGTAATTGATTATTTCTAGGAAAATGAAAACGTCAACATCCAAGTGATCCCCTTGTGTCATCGAAAAACATTTAACCTGATCATCATCCATCTTATGTTCCCCGATGTTACTCCCATCACGTGTTCCCAAAATCTCGTCTTTCTTCGGGCAACCAGGTCCGCCAACAATTTTCCCGACCAAGCGCGGTACGCCGAATCCCGAGTTGTACATATCGCCCAGTAACATGACATCGATGGCCCTCTTATTTTTGTCGACATAGACCTCATAAGGGTTGTCAACCTTTGAGGCTGATTCCCTCATTTTGACCCTAAATATGACAACATCTGATAGAAGATAAAAAAATCACATTTAAAATTAATATAAATAATACGAATATATTATACAAACAAAGAATGACCCTCGGGTAAGAATGGCCGAAATTGGTGATGGGAGTGTGGGTGCAAATGAATTGCGTATTGTTTTAGTTAGGAGATGGCTATAAATCAGCTGATTCGGGGTAACAACGAATCGGCTGATAAGGCTGTTTGGCTACTTTTATAAAATAGGGCAAAAAAATATATACTTCGCAATTTCGAATTACATACAAAGAAAGTTATTGGTAAAGAGGATTGGTGGAAGGGGGGGGGGGGGGGTATAATATATTAGTAGGTCGGCGTAACGCGTTTTTCGGCTCGGGGGGTGGGATAATTATTTTTAACCGACCCGCAAAATATATTTTGTATAAGTAGTGTCCGGTCTAGCCCGTAATAATTTTTTATGAGGGAATAATTCCAAAACTTAGCCCCGGTCTGCGGCATAATTTACCCGGCCCAGCCCGATAATCTTTTTTTATACCCGACCAGGGATATTTCTGGAAAGGTTGCGCCGACCCCTAAAGAATATAAGCGATCTACATCGGGCACAACTTTTCAACCGAACGAAATTTTGTTTTTATTTGTCCCGAATAAACCCGAACCGCGCAATAAAGATTATTTGTATGCCCGACCTGACCCGAATTTATTGGCGCCTTTGTTTATTGCAGGAATTTAAAAATATATATCAATACATTTGATTAAATGTAAATCTTATCATATTCAAAAATCTGAGCCCGATCCGGCCAGAACCGAAATTATTTTTTAAAAAATACATCCGGCTCGGCTAGAAATCCGATTGAACCGAGATTCGCAGATCTCTAATGTATATGTTATCCTGATTTAAAGATTTCGAAGGAAAATAATACTTTTAAAAAATCTTAAACCCAGTCCCCCCCACCCCCATTTGTTTATAAATAAATGCATTATTTGCATTTACAATTAATTAAATTAAAATATTTAATGCGTTCATATCCGTAACCATATTGTAAGAGTTCCGCATACCACCTTATAGTGCAACACAAATTGAGCGTTTACTTTCTGCCGTATTATTTTTTAATGAAAAAAAAAACGTAACGCATACCTCGTTTAACTTGAGGTTGCCTTTTTATTAATATCGTCGATTCGAAATTTTAAATTAGTACTAAAAAAAAGGATATGTCTTTTGAAAATTATATTATCGTCTGCCTTCTTATTTTCTTTAATTTCTAAATATTCCTTTTTAGGATAATAAGTAAGTTATTTATAATTACATTTTTATATAATATTTACAAAGCGAAGAATGAGAAAAGTAATGAAAAAGCAAAACCTATTTGTGTTTTTTAAAATGGTTGCTAACGTCAAACAGTAATTTTACCAATTTGCACGAGGCCATTTAAAATGCATTATTTGTGCTTGCAACCCAGCGTTAGAAATGCTCAACTTGTGCGCACTATAATATACTAATATAAAATACCCCCCCCCCCATCCACCCCCCCCCGGCATTTTCTCCAGGTTACCTTTTAGATCTCAAGTATTTTTTTTTTAAAAAAACACTTGATAATTAACCAATCCCCTTTCATTTTACAATAAACCAATATTTCATAATAACACATATCGTGCGGTTCCACTTGATTCCTTTTTTTTTATAAAATTAAATTAAATTAAACAGGAAGTTAAAAAAAAATTCAATTTTATATTTTAGCAGATTAAAAAAAAAGACATTTTAATTTCAATTAAATGAAAAAATATTAATTTAATATTTTTAAATCGACCAAAAAAATAAAAATCGATTTATCAAATTCAATCTACCCCCCCCCCACCACATACACATTACTAGTTTTTATTTTATTTTTTTTTGTAAATTTTGTATGATAGGATAGTATATAATATTATATTATATATCAGAAACCTGCAGAGGTAACATTTGCATGAGCCGGCCGGATTATTATTTTTTTTTTCATATTTTCAAACCCGGTCCGGTCCGGTTTATTTTTTTTAAGAAAAATTTTCAGACTCGGCCCGGTCCGGTTTATTTTTTTTTAGAAAAATTTTCAGACCCGGCCCGGTCCGGTTTATTTTTTTAAGAAAAATTTTCAGACCCGGCCTGGGGGGGCCTGCAGGTCTCTGTACATGTATATAATGGGGTAACTGTAAGCCGACCCGAGCCAAGAAAATAAAAAATATTGCCTAAGCCTCGAGATTCTGCTGATAGATGCCCAAACTTTTGTGTCTCCTCCTAAGGGCAAAATCTTCGGGCCTTGCGAAATATTTTTCTGGGTAAAAATAAGTGAGTTTAGCCGTTTTTAAAAAATATTGGCAATGAATGAAGCCATTTCGCATCACCACACTTAGTGATAAAAACAAAAATTTAGAAAAACCGGGTCGGGCCGTATAATGATCCATTAAAAAAAAATCCGGGCTGGACCGAAAATTTCTCAAAAAAAAATACCAAACCGGTTTCGAAAATGATTTTATTTTAAATCCGAGCTCCGCTATCCGTAAGTGTTATGGCCGGGTTTAAATAATTCGGTTCAAGCCGGGGTAGCTAAATTTTTTAATTTTTAGCAAGAAACAAGTCCGCGTAACGTAAAAATAAGGGTATATTCCAAAAGTACAAAAATTTTCTCGAAATTTCGCAAATTTCAATAATATAATAAATTTTTTGATTTAGGACGCAACGCACCCCTTACAACTATATCGAAAAAGAAGGGGAAAAAAATTAATTTCTATATTTTTTTAAAAATAAATTCGGGTCGGGCTGACAAATAATATCTATTTCAGGTTGAGTTATTCGGGCCGTAATGTCGAGTTCGGGCCGGATTTGAAAAATTAGGATAGATGCATATCACTGATTCGCGGATTTCTGGATATTTTATTTATTTCAATAATAACCTAGCTAATCTATATAAAAGATATTTGTTATTCACCTAAAAAGGAATTTTAAATATACTTAATTACTTTTTTTTTATTGATATCTAAATGGAAAATTATAATTTTTGATTTGTGATCGGAGTTTAAAACTATTAAATCATTTATTTTTTTTCTAATATAGATTTCCCGCCTTTATATTTATGCCTGGGCAAAATGAAATAGGAAAAAATAGTGATAAGCATATTACATGTTAGGTATGTTTTATAATAGATAGGTTTTAAATATAATATATTTTAAAAAAATACGGGCCGGGCCTGAAATTTTTTTTTAAAAAACTGGGTTATGCCGGGCCTGTTAAAAAAACCGGGACAAATTGAACCTCTGCAGGTCTCATAATAATACCTAGACTGACGATGCATTCATAATAATGAATTTGATAGGGTCGTTGAATGCAAATCAGCTGCACCCGCCATTTTGGTAACCCATATAGTAATTATTATCATGTTAAAAAACTACTATTAAATTGATAACTTGCTTCCTTATTATCTCGATGATCAGGTAATTCTTTAATTAAAGTTTGCGTCAGACACCGGAATAAATAGAACTCTCGTTTAAAATATTTAATAATGATATGGGTAAACAAAATGGCGTCCCCGGCTGTTTTCATTGATGTACGCCTTTTAATGAAACGCATCGTCAGTCTAGGTATTATTATTATATGCCATTTAGACGAGAATAGGACTTTTCTATCAGATTTTGACGGAAATCGGTTAGCGCTAATAAACCCCTTATTGGGTGTTATCGCTAAATAAACCTAATCTGTGTCCTACTGTTTTGTTTTTCTTAAAATATTGGACAAATAAATTCTGGGTATCTGACACTTTTTTCCCGCTCTCTTGAATATTCTATTTTTTCCTCAGTTCCGATATAATTCTTCAATTTTTTTTTCCGGAACAGACCAATTCCATGGAATATAAGAAGCTTGGATTTAAAAAATTTTTCCAGATCGAGATTGACTTCTCATTTTTTTTATATAGTTACAAACTTAAGAATTCTAAGATTACGAAAAAAAATTTCTATAGAACTTAATATCTGAACAGAGATAAATGACCCTATTTTAAATGTCAAAATTTTTCGGGAAGAGGAATCTTTTGAGCACTCGATTTTATATTTCACTGTTTGTTATTATTGGAACTACAAAGTCAAATCTAAGAGTTAGAAAATCTTCCTAAGATTTGCGTAATCCAAAAAAATTCTAAAAAAAAAATAAGGCGAACCCAGTCCAACAAACACTGGTTAATTTGGTAACTTATTTGTGTTAGAATATGTTTTAAAAAAATTAATTAAATTCATATTATATTATTTAATATTCTCCGTGACTTGTCTCGATTCATTATCACTGTATAATAACATACAACTACTTCATCCCCTAATAGTGCGCACAAATTGAACGTTTCAACGCAGCGTTTCCAAAAGCATATAAATAATTTAAAATACAAAACGCAAACATGCTCAATTTAAACGAATGGATTTGAAATGCATTATTTACGTTTTGAAACGCAGCGTTGAAATGTTCAATTTGTGCGCACTATAAGCCAATGACGACATTTCCCCCAACCTCAAAATTTTAAGCCCTTACCCTCTATCCAATCTCTTGCCAAATAAAAATTAGCAGCTAAAAAGGAAATTCAAACCAAAATTAGCCAAAAAAACGGAAATGAGATTCAAAACTATCCCCCCTACCCCCCTTCCAATTTTACTTCGATGATAATAGCATGTACCTAACCCTCACCCTCTGATTTCAATGACGACCTTGTGTCACCCCCTGTCCCCTTGAAGTAGACACTAAATACCTTAAAATAAAAGATTATCACTAGTTGTTAATATTCGGTCATATTTGTCATTTTTCTCCAAGTTATCATATAGCAGTGATGAAGCGGCCAAAGAAGCAGGGGAATCATTGCTTCCCTCACACATTTTTCTTAATGAGCCGATTTTTAAAAAATGGCTAACTCAATATTTCATCCTGGAAAAATATCATGCAAGCCTGAAGATTTTGCTCATGAACAAGGGTCTAGACATATGTTACCGAAATATCGAGACTAAGGCCGCATTCATAGTGGATCCGATCAGACACGATTTAACAGCTGATCGATTTTTAAAATCGGTTTATGAGAATCAATTTTTCTTTATTAAAACCAATATTTCTTAGTCATGTATAGAATTAAAGATAAAATTAATGTTATTTTTAAAAAAAAATTGATCTCATAAACCGATTTTAAAAATCGATCAGCTGTTAAATCGTGTCGGATCGGTTCCACTATAAATGCGGCCTAAGGCTATATTTTTTTCTGGTTATTTAAAAATTGGCTCGAAACGTGCCGTTTAGCAACACTAATAAAATGAATATAAACCCAGGAAACAAATCGAATTTTTTTTAAAAAAATTATAAGAATTTTGAATTAATGTTATTTAGCATAGGTGTCCAATTGGCGTAACTAAATAGTAACTAATTTTTCATGAAGGGTGATTCCACGTTAAATCGACCAAAAAAACGAGATTTTCGGCCGACCATCTCAAAAATGAATGAAACTTTGCATGTTAGTTATTAATATGCTGTAAATGTTAATAAAATCAAAATTTTAGAGTGCTAGCTCAACCAGATCCAAAGATATACGCCTTTAAAGTCGATAATCGCGAAGTGCGAGATTTTGCGTGATTTCTTTAAATCGTGTTTTTTAAAAAAATACTTAAGATAGAGTTACAAATTATATATCATTCTATAGCCCTTAAAATTTTACGTTGGAAAATATAAAAAAAAAATTTAAAAATTTCAAGTGTTTGCTTATTTCCGGTAAAAATAAAAAATTAACATTGTTAGGAAGCGATTTTTTTTGGGGGATAATATTCACTAAAGATGTTTATTACCTTTATATTAAACGATTTAATAAAAAATCTCGATAGCCATTTTTGTTTTTTTTAATTTTATTTAAATTTTTATTATTTTTATAAATAAAAAAATGTAATATAGATGGCGTTATATTAAAATATTTTTATAATATATAATTTTTAATAAGTATTGTGATTAAAATTAAAAAATTAATTGAGTTTAACCTAGAATTATGTCCTGGGGCGATATGTAAGCATGCAGCTTATACAGATATTATTTTATTTGGACGCTATATTGTAAAATAAACATATTTTATAATTTTATACACAAACAATTATAAAAAAAAAATACCTCTTGTTTTAATCTTATCCCATTTTGTTCTTCTTAATAGAATTTCTTGAGATGATAATTTGTAGGTACGTCCTGTCACTGTAATAGGATCTACTATCGTTATTATTTGATTAATGGGTAACCATATCTTTTCCTCAATTGTGGGGTAAAAGAAGGATAGTGATGGTCCATGGGGATGTAAAAAGGATATATATATCTCCTCAGTAATTTCATTCTTTTTTAGTACTGTGGCTAACCCCCAAAAATCGCCATAAACACATGTTACGAATCCTTTATCGGCAAAAAACAAATTATCGGCAAATGGCAAATTATCAGCATTTGAGATACTGTTAATTTGAAAGTCTTCTGCGCATGAATATATTTTTGATTTAAGCTTACTTAAACTCAAAGGAAATACAGCATGTATTTTCCGAGTTCCTGGAATGGGACGTGCTAAACTGAATCTTTCTCGAAGTTTAATCTCTTGCAAATTGTATTGTTCTTTTGTTATATACGTAAAATTTGCTGATGGCATGTTTTGTTTTGCAAATTGATATAAATCAATTGGCGTTAAAATGTGGCCAGAACTGATGCGCTGAAGGCTTGAACGTGCTGCAATGTTCCGCAAGGCTGTCACATGGACCTTTTCCATGAGATGTAGCTGAAAAATGCCATTCAGCTGCTACATCAAAATCTGATCCATGATAACACAGATTTATTAAAAAATATTTATTTTTATATTGCGCAGCTGATCCATCGGAGCAGTAATATATTTTGCTTGGCTTTTTGTTGAATTTATTGCTCAAAAACTTTATCATTTTAGTCTGGTATAAATGTACTGCAATAACGTCATGTTGAAGTGAATCTAAATAAACTTACCTTATGTAGATTTTTTGAAATAGATTTATGGCCCTCTCTAAAAAAAGGATTGGTACAAAGCAACTTCATTATTACAATTTTTAATGCTGAATTTTTAAAAAAAAATTTTAAGTTAAAAAGAATTATTATTTAAAACCTTATGTTTTTTTCAATCATTGATTGATAATTAAATTTTCTATTTATCGATTAAAAAATGTAATAAAAAGAAAAGAATAAAAAAATAAAATAAACTGATAAAATCTTTAATTTCAAATAATAACGATAGTAGATCGATCCACAAAAATGAAAGTATATATTTACAAATTATGGCTTTATGAAATTCTATTAATAAGTGCAAATTATAATAGTTTGATTTTAAAATATGTTTATTTTACAATATAGCCTCAATAAAATAATATCTGTATGGGCTGCCTGCTTACATATCGCCTGAGGACATCATTCTTTGTTATTCTAGATTGATTTTTTTAATTTTAATCACATTACTATTCATATTTTTATTAAAAATTATATATTATAAAAATATTTTAATATAACGCCATCTATATTACATTTTTTTATTTATAAAAATAATAAAGATTCAAATAAAATTAAAAAAAACAAAAATGGCTATCGAGATTTTTTATTAAATCGTTTAATATAAAGGTAATAAACATTTTTAGTGAATATTATCTCCCCAAAAAATCCCTTCCTAACAAATTTTTCATTTTTACCGGAAATAAGAAAACACATGAAATTTTTAAATATTTTTTTTATATTTTCCAACGTAAAATTTTAATGGCTATAGAATGATATATAATTTGTAACTCTATCTTAAGTATTTTTTTAAAAAACACGATTTAAAGAAATCACGCAAAATCAAGCACTTCGCGATTTTCGACTTTGAAGGCGTATATCTTTGGATCTGGTTGAGCCTAGCACTCTAAAATTTTGATTTTCTTAACATTTACAACATAAATAACTAACATGCAAAGTTTCATTCATTTTTGAGATGGTAGGCCAAATCATTGGTCAATTTGTCATGGAATTACCCTGAACCAAATTTTTAAATCATATGTTATTCTAAATATTTTAAATGAACTTATATAAGTTGTGTAAATTATGTTTTAAATGGTCAGAAGGTATAAATTTGTGTAACATTATGTTTAAAAATAAGAGTTAAGGATGTAAAATTTTAAAAAAATGTTTACTTTTTTTTAATGAATAAAAGATAGAAATATGTTAATAATTTTAAAAGAAATCTACAATGAAATGTAAATTGTGTTTGATAATATATTTATACTTATTTTTAGCTCAAAAAAATTAATACACAAAAAAATAATTATAGGAGGATAAACAAAACCAATTTTAAAAATTTGAAGAATAAATACAAAAACGTTTGTAAACTATGATTTCAACAACCAAAAGTACAGTACTGGGATTTTCATCTTTAAAATGAATAGAACTTATTGTAGGAACAGTCATTTATTTAATCTATCAAAACATTAGTTTTTATAATTTGGTTCTTGAGCATTTACTGCAAAAGGCAAATTCTGTGCATTATTCCTTTCCTAGTAGTAAACTTTGGCTTCATCACTGCTGTAGTGATTTGATTATTTTTGAGTTATACTTAAATAATAAAAAAAATCATATGTACCATTAATGACCAAGTCCTTGATATAACCATTTATATCGAGTCTACGAAAGTAAAAGCTTTCAGAATTTAAATGTTTTTTGGTAGGATATATCTTGTAATTTCTTTGGTTATTGCCTTTAGATAAAGAATCATTCAAATTAAAATGACCAGATTCTATTTTTTTGATAAATCCATACTTATCCTAAATTTATAAATAAGAAATAAACTATTGATTAAATAAAGGTTTACATTTATAGAGAATATATTGCCTATACATATTAAATCATCCTTGATAGATGTAGAGGCTGAATAAGTATTGAGTATATCAACAATTAATCTATTATTTTGATCCAAAATATTATCTATTATACTATTTTTAGTGTCTAGTGCAAAATATTTGGTCTTAGGCTTTGAGAAACTATATGGTGTTTTATGTAATTTAATTTGGTCAATGGATTTTGATAGGCCATTATTGATATCTATAACTTTGTTATTATTTTGATTAATAAGATTGGGATTAAAATTTGGTGCAGCAATAGATTGATAACTATTATAATTTTTGTAATTAATTGGTTTCATTTTATTTTGATGCTGACTTTTAGAACCTGAGAAATTATTTTTCATATTAAGGTTTATATATAATTCGAGTAAATTAGAAATTTAAAAAAAAAACACTTATCCGTGAATAGAGGCGTTTGATTAAAAACCAATGATATAATTGTTAAAAACATAATTTAGAAAATGTGTTAAACATATGTTATTTATTTTCTAGATTTTAAAAAAAAATTTACTATAGTTAGCTTAAATAAAATTGCATTCTCTCATAAAAATTTATCTAAACACAAAATTTAAGTAGTCAGGAATTTGATTAACTAATACTTTTAACAACTTTAGAGTTACAGATTACAGGTAGTATACTGCTCACTAATTAATTATTCATATCATACAAATATTCATTACCCATAGATACAGTCTCTATATGACCGTATATTAAAGAAGAACAATAAAAAGGATACTTGGTGTTTGATTGTTTTATAAATTTATCCTGACCCCTTACTCCTACAGACAATTGATCTATGGAAGTCCCTCTCTTAGTCGATCCTCCATCGTCGATACTACAGAAGGATTTAGATAAACCTCTAGTTGGCAACTTCGTTGCATTCCTTAAATCGAGGAGCCAACTATAGGACCATTCTCTACTCTTCTTCATATCCGCAGGTAGTAGATACGAATTTCTTGAGGCTTTCCCGTCGCGAAACCTTGACCTCCTAAGCAATGACGAACTATGTCACGCCATAGGTCTTAGACTTAATTGCGATATGGTAATGCCTTATCACTGTATCCTTTATCAAACGTTGGTCAACTCCAAAGGCCTTCACTCTTTACACTGCAAGCGCTGTAGAGGTAGATTCATTAGGCATTAAAAATGCAATGATACCATTGCCAGGGCTTTAAAATTTGTCGGCATCCCATCAACCCTTGAACCTACTGGCCATTACAATTCCGATGGTAAGCGGCCCGATGGTTCGACTATGATCCCTTGGAAGAGGTGGGAATTCCCTACCCTGAGATTTCTCATGCATCGATCCTCTTGCCCCTTCCAATATAAATTGAGATGTCATACTAGATGCCGAGGCGAATAAACTAGCTAAATATTTGCCATCTCTTCCCGCCAATTATATATCCTACTATTAATCGCTACAACTCTAACATCGTTCGGCTATCATGCCCTGGCCTTCTTTAAAGAGCTGGGAAAACCCATCTCTGCTAGGACCGATAATCCCAACGAGGGATTCTACCTAAACTAAAGAATAGCCATAAACATAGTAAAATACAATTATCTCAGCTTTATTTTTTCAATATCCGAAACCCCCTAATTGAACACTATGCATAGGATAGATTTTGGCCATTTTTCTGCCTATTATAATATTAACGCTAAAAGGGAACTTGAATCTCAATCAATAAAAAAATAGCAAGAATTAATAACTTTATATAATTGTGATTTACTAATATTTTTTTTAACTATTATTATAACTTACATTATTAGATTAGATTCTTTTTAACATATTAATTTGTTATTCAGGCAAATTTCTTTTATTATTGAAGAGTATCATGTAAAACGTGCGAGTAAGTAAAAATATATTTTATTATTATTATATCTCTTTTTCCTCTTTTACACATGCTATTTATATATTATCTAAAAATATAAATTAGAATATATATGATCAAAACAAAAAACAAAAAGTAAGGTTACAAAAATTATATTAAATTTCCAAACGAAAAATAAAAAGTAATGATAGGTAAGTTTACAAAAATTAGATTATAAATATAAATTTCTAAACGAAAAACAAAAAGTAATAATAGGTAAGGTTACAAAAATTAGATTATAAAAAAAGTAAAAAACCAAAATATATAATATTAATTAATTAATTCCTATAAAATAACATTCTCCCTCTTCTAAAAGCCTTCCCATAATTTCATCTAAGAAGTCATAGAGACTTTTTTGTCCAAGTAGTTTATCGTTTTGGTCATCAAGTTGTTTCATAAGTCATCATATCGTTGGCTTGTCCCAATCGTTTACTGTGTTTGTACGTTGGTTTGTTTTAATCTCAAACTTGATATCCTTATCGTTAGTTGTCTCCATAAATAATGATTTAGTCATATAGCTTGCTTGGTAGTACTCAGTTGTTATTTTTATCATTTTCAAAATTGTTATTATCATCAGTAAGTTGCGAATAATAAGAAATAATAGTTCATCATATTGGATATAAGAATAAACGAAGAATGATAAATCAATATGATTGTTATATAATATTTTAAGCGTTTTAATTTTTTGCGTTTTAGTGTAAGCGTTTTAATATTTAATTTACTTTATGCATATTAATATTTATTTTATATTTTAAGTTATGTAGCCTTTTAGATAAACAGGTTTTTGTTTAATTCGCACAGGTCTAGAAATAGGTGTTATATCATTATTATCAGTAATTTTTATATTTTTGTCCACACTTCCCTCCTTAAAAGAATCCTTAGAGTCATAGTTAACAATTGTGTTAAAACAGTTTCTAATTCATATTTGATCTAAATGTCTCCTCAAAATACCTTTCTCTGTCTTAATTTGGAACATCATGTCACTTTCTTTATGTGTGATCATACCTTTGCACCATTTATCATCACCTTGTACTTTATACCAAACAAACTCTCCTACGTTAAAGGTTCTATTACGTAGTAAAGTAACGTTTATTTTATTCTCTTTCTCCTCCAAAGGTTTTAATAAGTCCCATTTAATTCTATTATCTCTATTAAACATTCTCTGAGATGGTGTAACTCCTGCAGTATCATTACGCGTGTTTCTGTAATTAAATAAAAATTTGCCAAGTGCGATATCTAGGTCAATTTTAATATTCCTTTTCATATGTGTTATAAACGTTCTACCTGGCCATTGGATTGCTGGCGATACGCAGATGTGAGTACTGTTTGATACCGTATTGCAAAATTTTTCAAAATCGTTACTCGTAAAATTAGTGCCATTATCAGTAACTATAGTTTCAGGTATTCCATATAGCTAAATAGTTTTAAAGATTTCTTTTAAAATAACATCAGTCGTGATATTTTTAACAGGAATAATAATTGGGAATTTGCTGTAGGCATCGACTATTATCAACCAATTTTTTGTGAAGAACGGACCCGCATAATCTATGTGTATCCTAAACGGTTTGGTTGCCGAAACCTATGGTTTTTGTATTTTTATAGTATTATCATGATATATGTTACAATCGTCACAACTTTTCACTTCCATTACTATATCATTATTTATACCAGGCCACCACATGTAATCTTTGGCTAAGGATTTGATTTTTCCTGCTCCCAAGTGACCTTCATGTAATGACTGTAGTATATTTTTTCTCATAGAAGACGGAATTATGATTCTGTTACTTTTGTAAAGACAATCCTTAATTATATTTAATTCCAATTCAATGTTTTTATAAATATTATTCATTATAGGCCTGTTGATTTTAATATCATTAATGACTTGTTTTAATTCCATATCTTTCAAAGACGAATTTGATTAAAATTAATAGGTAAATCCCCATATTCATTTATTATAGTGATATTTTCAATAGTTTCATCATAACATTCTTGTGGTAATCTCGAGAGACAATCAGGAACAACATTATATTTACCGGCTTTATACTTTATATTAAAATCATATCCTCCCAATGTAATATTCCACTTCTGGAGTCTTAAGGACATGGTGCTATTATCCTTAAGACCCTTGGTAAAGATGTGAACTAGAGGTTTATGATCAGTAATGATGGTAAATTTTGTGCCGATTAAATATTCCTGGAACCTCTTTATAGCGAACATAATAGTGAGAGCCTCACGCTCAATATTGGTATAGTTCATTTCGGATTTTAATAAAGTTCTTGACGCGAAAGCTATAGGTTTTTCTTAACCATTTTTTTCAGTATGAAATAGTACAGCTCCTAAACCACATTTCGATGCATCAGTGGCTTTCCTTATAGGTAATTCAGGGTTAAAATATGTCAAAGCAGGTGGAAGACTAACCAACTTCTTAAGATCATTAAAACTTTTAGAGTGTTCTAGGTTCCAAGCCCATTTTTCTTTGTTGACAATCTTATATAGAGGATCGGCAATCTCTGCAAAATTGTTCAAAAATTTTCTAAAGTAGCCAGCCATTCTCCAGCAGCTGATTTTGGTTCTGGCATATTAATTATTGCTTCAATTTTGTCGTGATTAGCATGAATCCCCTTAACGTCAATATTATGACCCAGGAACCTCACTTTGTTTTTAAAGAACACACTTTTATTGAAGTTAGGTATCAGCCCATACGAAGATATTCTATCAAACACTTTTTTTATGTTGTTAAGGTGTGCTTCATCGTTTTTTCCAGTTATAAGTAAATCATCAATATAAAATATGACGTCATCCATATCACCGAAGATTTGATCCATAATCTGTTGAAAAATGCAGATGAGGTCTTAAGCCCAAAAGGAAGTCTGGTAAATTGGTAATATCCCTTGTGCGTAGATATGGTTAAAATATTTCTGCAACTTTTATCAATTGGGATCTGTAAGAAAGCATTTTTAAAGTCAATCTTCGTAAATTTCTTTCCTTCTGAAAGTTTAGCTATTAGATCATTGATTCGTGGTAGAGGGTATCTGAAATCTTCTAGAGCTGGGTTTACAGTCCTTGAAATCAGCACAAAGCCTAATGCTCCTATCATCTTTGTAGACAGCGGTAACAGGACTTGCCTATCGGACATCATTCACCGGCTCAATTATTTTTTCATTTATCCATTTTTTAAGTTCGTTGCTAACAATATCAATTTTTGAATAAGGAATACGTCTAGGCGGTATAATTTTAGGTTGGGCATCTCTTCTTAAATGTAACTTGACACTTGCTTTGTTGATTGGCCCATTAGTCAATTTGGATTCACACTCTTTAATCAATTTTTTAATTTTATCTTCGTAATTAGTGTTAACATTTGCTATAAATTTATTTAAAATGTTTTTGAAAGCAATGATCCATGTACGTCCCATCAAGGCATTTTTTCTCGATTCAACTACTACCGCTTGTAAATATTTTGAGATACCTTCATAAGTCACTTTAACTTGAGTGATACCGATGATCTTGATTAAAT